GGTTGCTAGGACGCCAGTGGTCTTAGCAACAAGGGACTGTAGAGGAGGTGGGCACCTAATGGCATTGGTTGCTAGGACGCCAGTGGTCTTAGCAACAAGGGACTGTAGAGGAGGTGGGCACCTAATGGCATTGGTTGCTAGGACGCCAGTGGTCTTAGCAACAAGGGACTGTAGAGGAGGTGGGCACCTAATGGCATTGGTTGCTAGGACGCCAGTGGTCTTAGCAACAAACTACTGAAGAGGAGGGGGCCTGCACTGGGCCTGGGAGGCCGACACATCCACTGTCAGCCATAACTCAGCACAGGTCAGCGATCGGCCCGTGTCCAGACCAAGGGCCAGATGTGTGCGGTAGGCCATGAAATGCCGGGGTCTGCTGTAGGTTGCCTGTGTGAGGGGACATGTCAGATACAACCAGCATGTTTCGGGGGAATTAGACTCTAAAATACAAAAGAACTAGGGATGCACAGATACTTTTCAAGTACCAGTGCAGATACTTGGCATTTTCACGAGAACTACCAGGGTTGCAGCGGTTGCAGCTGGGACCGGGCTCTGGAGCTCCACCACTGTCATTAGTCTGTATTGTTTTAGAAAAACTGTCACATGACAATAAACAAAAATGTATCAGTACTTGTACTTGTAAGTACTCGGCAAGTACCAGTACTCGTACTCGTAAAACTGGTATCTGTGCATCCCTTTATTTATAGTTATAAAAACAAAATCATACATTAAAACAGAGATGTACAAATCCCGGGAGCTCCGCGTGCTCCTTACACATGACAGCTGCCTCCTAACTTATGAATTTTTCTCTAGTGTAGTCTTGGAGCTCAAAAGTATCGGTACATGTACTCGTACTTGTACCGAGTACTGTACTTGGTATCTGTGCAACCCTAAAAAGAACAATAACAATATGATGTAAAGTTCCATCCATGGTACACGGCGGTTGTGTGAGACGATGGAACAAACTTGTAGAAACCGTTAGAAAAACAGAGACAAGAGATCTGTAATAGAAGATAGAAAAAGGTGAATGTCGTAATCTCCGAGGCCTGATCTCAGCAGGCCCCCGTACCCAGAGACACAATGGTCTGACCCAACATAACGTCTCTCTTTGTCTCTTGTCAGAGCGTCATCAATGATAAATCAAGCTACAAAATGGTGGTGGATTCCATGAGGGTGATCGGCTTCACCGAGGAAGAGGTGGACTCCGTGTACAAGATTCTGGCTGCCATCCTACACCTGGTGAGGACCTCTTGTAGGGTTCACAGAGGGGGACCTGGGGAGACAGGTTCATATGGTGTGCAGTTGTGTGCTTAGATTGCCAATGATCTCCTCTCACCATTATCACTTCACTACAGCGGCCCCAACATACAGGAACCCGGGGCCAATATGGATTCACAAAACCACGGATACAAATGACACAAAAAAAAGCTCACTCTATATAACGAGAAATGTAAATAGTAGCCACATGGAAGAAAGAGTGCTAACCAGTCCAGCCAGGCAGTCCTGGAGACCAACTGGGAGGAGAACTCGGGGAAACTGGAGGGCAAAAGCCAAAGAGTTCTCAGGCACGGTGTAGGAAGTTTATTTTAATAAATATAAAGAAAGTCAAATTGATACGCTCACTAATGGAGACCTTGAGCAGCACCAACACCCCGAACAACACCAACACCTTGAACAACACCAACATATTGAACAACACCAACACCTTGAGCAGCACCCACACCTTGAACAACACCAACACCTTGAGCACCACCAACACCTTGAACAGCACCAACACATTGAACAACACCAACACCTTGAGCAGCACCAACACATTGAGCACCACCAACACCTTGAGCACTTGTCAGCCATAACTCAGCACAGGTCAGCGATCGGCCCGTGTCCAGACCAAGGGCCAGATGTGTGCGGTAGGCCATGAAATGCCGGGGTCTGCTGTAGGTTGCCTGTGTGAGGGGACATGTCAGATACAACCAGCATGTTTCGGGGGAATTAGACTCTAAAATACAAAAGAACTAGGGATGCACAGATACTTTTCAAGTACCAGTGCAGATACTTGGCATTTTCACGAGAACTACCAGGGTTGCAGCGGTTGCAGCTGGGACCGGGCTCTGGAGCTCCACCACTGTCATTAGTCTGTATTGTTTTAGAAAAACTGTCACATGACAATAAACAAAAATGTATCAGTACTTGTACTTGTAAGTACTCGGCAAGTACCAGTACTCGTACTCGTAAAACTGGTATCTGTGCATCCCTTTATTTATAGTTATAAAAACAAAATCATACATTAAAACAGAGATGTACAAATCCCGGGAGCTCCGCGTGCTCCTTACACATGACAGCTGCCTCCTAACTTATGAATTTTTCTCTAGTGTAGTCTTGGAGCTCAAAAGTATCGGTACATGTACTCGTACTTGTACCGAGTACTGTACTTGGTATCTGTGCAACCCTAAAAAGAACAATAACAATATGATGTAAAGTTCCATCCATGGTACACGGCGGTTGTGTGAGACGATGGAACAAACTTGTAGAAACCGTTAGAAAAACAGAGACAAGAGATCTGTAATAGAAGATAGAAAAAGGTGAATGTCGTAATCTCCGAGGCCTGATCTCAGCAGGCCCCCGTACCCAGAGACACAATGGTCTGACCCAACATAACGTCTCTCTTTGTCTCTTGTCAGAGCGTCATCAATGATAAATCAAGCTACAAAATGGTGGTGGATTCCATGAGGGTGATCGGCTTCACCGAGGAAGAGGTGGACTCCGTGTACAAGATTCTGGCTGCCATCCTACACCTGGTGAGGACCTCTTGTAGGGTTCACAGAGGGGGACCTGGGGAGACAGGTTCATATGGTGTGCAGTTGTGTGCTTAGATTGCCAATGATCTCCTCTCACCATTATCACTTCACTACAGCGGCCCCAACATACAGGAACCCGGGGCCAATATGGATTCACAAAACCACGGATACAAATGACACAAAAAAAAGCTCACTCTATATAACGAGAAATGTAAATAGTAGCCACATGGAAGAAAGAGTGCTAACCAGTCCAGCCAGGCAGTCCTGGAGACCAACTGGGAGGAGAACTCGGGGAAACTGGAGGGCAAAAGCCAAAGAGTTCTCAGGCACGGTGTAGGAAGTTTATTTTAATAAATATAAAGAAAGTCAAATTGATACGCTCACTAATGGAGACCTTGAGCAGCACCAACACCCCGAACAACACCAACACCTTGAACAACACCAACATATTGAACAACACCAACACCTTGAGCAGCACCCACACCTTGAACAACACCAACACCTTGAGCACCACCAACACCTTGAACAGCACCAACACATTGAACAACACCAACACCTTGAGCAGCACCAACACATTGAGCACCACCAACACCTTGAGCACCACCAACACCTTGAACAACACCAACACCTTGAGTAGCACCAACACATTGAACAACACCAACACCTTGAGCAGCACCAACACCTTGAGCAGCACCAACACCTTGAGCAGCACCAACACCTTGAGCAGCACCAAACCCTTGAGCAGCATCAACACCTTGAGCAGCACCAACACATTGAACAACACCAACAGCTTGAGCAGCACCAACACATTGAACAACAACAATACCTTGAGTCCAGGTGTACCTCCACTGATTTGTCCATTGCTGTATGTGCTCCTAGATGGAGGCTCTCATAGAGTAGAGTTAGGACCACACTACACAGAGGGGCCCCGGCAAGGCAGTGTGGACACCTCACTTTAAAAGCTAGTTATAAATTGATTTGTGCGGCCATATTTGTTTTACAATACTCAGCATGTGGCACTCACCATGAAGATAAGGGTTGGGTGGGTGGTTGGGTGATGTCAGATGTGGAAGGGAGCTCCAGGGAAAGGGTGCAAAGTCTGAAGTCCTAAGCACATGAGCTGTTGACAAAGGGAGGAAAGAGAAGAAGTTGAGTAAAGAAAGATTTCCCCTAGACACAGCTGACTAATGCCGGAGGAACAAGACGCCAGACGGTGCTGTATTGGGTCTATCTGGGCCTCTAGTGGAACATCAGAGAAAACGATGTCCCGGCATTGATAGAGGCAGCATAAGATCCAGCCGAAGGGGGGGGGAGGTTGCATGTACTCATTGAGGGAGGTTCCAAGGCTGCTCCCTCTTCGGTCAGGAGAACAGAAGATCAAATCCTGGATGTGGGGTTAAGAGCGCCTCCTAAATAAATGGTCACGTTGCCTAAAAGTTCCTCTAGATCAGGGGTGGGCATTATCTCTAGGGGCCACATGAGATACTGTGGCTGTTTTGGAGGGCCAAATGTTGGGGGCGGAGAACACATTTGATGTCACTGGTTGCTAGGACCATCCGGCGGTCCTAGCAACCAATGACTGTAGAATAGGTGGACACCTAATGTTATTGGTTGCTAGGACATCAGCGGTCCTAGCAACCAATGACCGCAGAGGAGGTGTCTTTTTGGAGTGATAAAAACCTGCCGGGGGTTCTAACCCCCCCCCCCTCCACCCCCCTCCAACACTCCATACAAACATTTGGCCATAGAGACACATTAAACAATGACTTTCCTCGTGTCTATCCATCCTCCACAGGGCAACCTGTGTTTTACGATGGACGGTGACTGTGTGGTCCTGGAGGATGAGGACCTGGTCGGTTATTTCGCTGAATTGACCAGCTGCCATCCCGATGCTGTACGGAAGACCCTCCTATACCGCACTGTGGCTGCAGGAGGGGGCGAGATCATCGAGAAGGGTCACGGTGCCAAAGAAGCAGAGTACGCTAAGGAAGCCTGTGCCAAGGTAGGCCAAAAATGTCTGGTGGGGGTCTGATGAGGCTTGAAAGGGAGTTCCAGGGAAAGAGGGCAGCACAAGAGAAGTCCTGGAGAGGTGGGGGAGAGGCGGTGAGTGGAGAGGAGCCGTGATGTTTGTTTGGGGTGAATCCCAGGAGACTAGAGGAGAAAGTTCCAGAATGTGGAGACCTGGGACTGTCCATGGAGAGCCATCGCTGGGACTGATACCAAGGAGATGTGTATGAGCCGGGCGGCGGTGTTCTGGTGGCAGTGTTGTGGCGGTGGTGTCCTGGTGGCGGTGTTCTGGCGGCGGGGGTTCTGGCTAAAAGATAACATTACACCAGTATTATGACTCGGTTGGGGGGACATTATATATAACCGAGTCCTGGTGTTGGCTCTCCATGGCTACAGAATAAACTGCCTGGACGTCCCAGGTCTCCACATTCGGGAACATCCAACATCTCCTCATCAGTCTCCCGAAATACCGGAAATGGGAATCTGGTGACCTGACAAAGGCAATGTGGGAAACCCTATTTTGAGTTCTCTCATTGGGTAATAGGAGGTAACGTTGACATTCCTATAGTGCACCTGAAGAATGATGATCTCTATGATGAGAGGACTTTGTGGCCCCTAGGAGGCTGCGGGAAGGTCTGGTGGAGTTTGGCAGTTTTAGGAAGCATTGCCCCTAGCAGGTTTTGGGGCTCCTCGGTGATGCCCAAAGAGGGCTGAAGGTAAAAAGTAACAGGGCGCGATTGTTCACGGTGTGATAGAAAACATGGCCCAAATTTCTGATGCCAAAACCTCCACCTGAGAGACAGATGAGCTCCTGTCCTTACCGTGTACTGTGACCGGTGAGGCCCAACTGTGCAAACCCAACCCACTCTGACCTCACTCTGACCTCATTCTGATCTCACACTGACCTCACTCTGACCTCACTCTGACCTCATTCTGATCTCACTCTGACCTCACCATACCCTTGCTCTGATCTCTCCATGACCTCACATCGACCTCACTCTGACCTCACCATGCCCTCACTCTGACCTCACCATGCCCTCACTCTGACCTCATTCTGACCTTGCTGTGATCTGCCTCTGACCTAACCTGACCTTGTACTGACCTCACTATAATCTCACTAACACCCTGACCTCACTCTGACCTCACCATGCCCTCACTCTGACCTCGCTGTGATCTGCCTCTGACCTAACCTGACCTTGTACTGACCTCACTATAATCTCACTATAACCCTGACCTCACTCTGACCTTACCATGACCTCACACGAACCTCGCTCAGACCTTGCTCAGACCTCACCATGCCCTCACTCTGACCTCGCTTCGACTTCACTCTGACCTCACCATACCCTTGCTCGGATCTCCCCATGACCTCACATCGACCTCATTATGACCTCACCATTCCCTTGCTCTGACCTCACCATAACCTTGCTCTGATCTTCCCATGATCTTGCATCAGCCTCATTCTGACCTCACCATGACCTCACCATGACCTTGCTCTGGCCTCACTCTGACCTCACACCAACCTTGCTCTGACCTCCGCCTGACCTCTCTCTCTTTGTACTATTCGCAGGCTTTCTACGAAAGACTTTTCTGCTGGATTGTCGGGCGCATCAACAGCATTATTGAGGTGAAGAATTATGACGCCAGGATCCATGGCAAGAATACGGTGATCGGCGTTCTGGACATTTACGGGTTTGAGATCTTCGACAATAACAGGTCAGTATTTATTTCTGTGCCGGCCCTTTAACTATTCACTGCATCCAAGAGAAGGTCCCTATTCCCGGGGGAAGTGTAGACACACAGCATGGCCACTGGGGGGAGCCAATGAGCATAGGAAATAGACACTTACAGCCTGCGCTCCTCGGCTCCATCTGGTGTCCATAATGTGTTATTACAACTAGGAGAAAAGTACGAGAACATTTGTTTTCTGCATTATTCGTCCAAAACGAACGTTCGCAGATATTCGCAGAGCGAGGGGGGTGGGAGGTGGGAGGT